CCGGATTGATGGCGGAGGCATTCATGCCTGTTCCTTCTGCGAGGCCCTTGGGCCGTGCAAGCAGACCCCCTTCATCCCTGCTTTTCCGACGGACTCTGCCTTTTCTCCAGAGGCAGAGGGTTTGGAGGACAGCTCGGCCCCGGGTCCTGACGTGGAGGTTCCCGGGGTTGGGGAGGAGTTGACTTGGGGTGCTTGGGCCCCATTTGACACCGCTTGAGTGTTGCTACCCTCGGCGCGGGGCTTGTTACAGGGGGAGGGGTTTTCCGATCCGCCCTCCCTGTACGAGTTTGATATGAGTGCGACTCCTCCCCAGATTCGATTCCAGGTTCGATTGGGTTACTCGGTTCCCTCCTTCCAGAGATTTTCAGCTTCCCGCATCACATCAAAGGTGGTGCGGGAAATCCTTACGGCTTACTTCTTGCGAGACCCGGCCTGGATTATGCCTCGGTAATGGATCCTTCTTCTTTCGAGTTTGGCCCCTCGTTTTCTTTCTGGATGCGTTACGAGGTGCCAGAGTCTTCCTGGTTGGTGGACTGCCGTTTCTTTTCATTGGGGCGTGGTATTCGTTCTGTCGGATCTGTGCGCTTGAATAGCGGAAAGTGACTACAGTTGTTCAGGTTTACCTAGGGGGCGAATTTGAGCACCTCAATGCGTGCTTGTTCGCCCCCATACTTCCTCGTGATGTCAGTCAGATACAGCTTCATGCGCAGGTTTCCTCCCTTTTGGCATCCCTGGTGGCCGAGGATTTGCGCGCCCGTGGGCATTTGGCTTTGGTCTTGCGTTTCTTTTCTCTGCTGGAGCTGTCTTCTGACTGGCTCGGCGAGGATGTGCAGGAACTGGGATCTGGGCCGATGTTTGGTGTGTTTGCTTCGGCAACTCGGGCGTCGGCTACCTTGTTGAAGTTGTTTGCGGCGATTCTGAGGGAGGCGGTGTCACTGTTCTTTGCCTCTCGCCTCGCGTGTCGACAGGAGGTGCTCGTCCACTCTTTGGAATCGGCTTGAGCCCTGGCTCTTAGATTTTCGTTCCCTTTTTGTCCATTGCTGTTTGCAGAGTCTGTGGCGGTGCATTTTCTGCAAGCTGCTTTGTCTAGTTGCCGGCCTATGTTGGACTTGTTGGTTCTCTGGGGAGGCCATGGTGGTCCTGCCCAAAAGGGGTTGTGCCAGGTCTTGGGATACCTTCAGTTGTCATAAGCCAATAATGCCAGATTCGGGGCCGGCACCTCCTCTGGAGTCGTCGGCATGTGGTCAGCACAGTGATCGCTCTGAGCATCGGTCAGGCTCTCATAGGGATTGTCGGCCCTTTGCCTTGTTGATGGGCCAATAGGGAAGAGGCTCGCGCTATTTACTCTTGCCTAGTCCCACGATTCGTGGGCTTTTCGGGTCGTTTCCTCCGGCCTGCAGTGGCTTTGGGTCGCTCCTCCTCCTTCAGGGGGAATGGGGCTGGCAGGGCAGGCCTCTTCTCCTGTGGTCTGTCAGGTCATCCGGGAGTGGGTTTGCTTGGATGTGGTTGAAACGACAACATCCCTCAGGTGGGTTTCCTGCCTGTTTTCAGTTCCGAAACGGGACTGTGCAGATCTGTGATTCATACTGGCCTTGTCTCATCAGAATCCCTGGGTCTTTTGCCCCTCCTTTCAGATGACCACTCTGTCTCGGGTCCGGCTGCTTTTGGCACTGGGTGCATGAATGGTGTCTCTGGACCTCTGGGACGCATATTAGCACGTCCCGATTCATCCGGGGTTCAGGGACTGGCTCGGTTTTGTCGTGGGGCGTGAAGCTTACCGCTTTCGTTGCCTTCCATTCAGCTTGAATCTGGTACCTCGAGTGTTCACACGCCTTACCCGGGTCGTGGTGACCCATTTGCATTTGTTAGGAGTTCGGGTTCTGGCTTACCACGGCGACTGGCTGGTGTGGGCTCCCAGCCAATCCGCGTGTCTGCTCGCTAGGGATTTGGTTCTTTCCCAGCTCGCCGGGTTCGGGTTCTTGGCGAACTGGAGGAAGTCCCATTTGGTTCCCTTTCAGGTTCGGACTTGGCTAGGTCTTGTGTGAGACTCTCGAACCGCTTCCTTGTCTCTCCCTCCTGCGATGCTGTTGCGGCTGCGGTCCCACCTACGGCTGTTTTTGGAGGGCACCCAGGTCACACGTCGGTTGTTTGAGCAGCTGTGCGGGACCCTGAACTTTGCCATGCTGGTCTACCCATCGGGTTGGATCTGGCTTCAGCGGATGCTCTGGTTTCTTCGGGGTCGTCTCTTCCACCGCTCTCACGATCGCTGGGTTCGGATCCTGGGAGCCTTTGCTTCGGCTGCTGCGTCGCCGGCTTCCTCTGTGGGTCTTTTGGGGTTCTGCGCCTTGGCGCCTCCCTGAACCCTCCGCTTGATGTGTTCACGGGTGCCTTGTCTCTTGTCTGGGGTTTTGTGACAAGTGCTCACCTGGCCGGCCAGTGGTGATGAGGTCCGGCCTTCTGTCGAGCTCACAGCACGGCGCGGGAGTTTGCAGCTGTGTGGCATTCACTTCAAAGGATTTGCTTCAGATAATCCGGCTCCATTCGGACTGCTCCCCGTTGGTTCATTGCCTGAACCATGGGGAAGTTCGATGTGGTCCTTGGTTCTTTGGGGCTGGTCGCTTTGGGTGACTCGTCTGCTGAGCTCCCGGGGTTTGGCTCTCCTGGCGGTTCATGTTCAGGGGGTGTCAAACATCCTGGCGGATGGCCTATCTCGGTTCATTCCCCTATCCACGGAATGGACGGTCGATGCCAACTCGTTCAGTTGGCTCTGCTGGACATACGGGCGCCCAGAGGTGGACCTCTTCGCATCGGCGTGGTCCAGGCATCTTCCAGTGTATGTGTCACCCTTCCCAAACTGCGAGGCCGTCGGGGTCGATGCCTTTCGGCTGGACTGGTCGAGGTGGCATTACCTGTACTTCTTCCCACCGGTCTGGTTGTTGCTCCTGATCCTGGCCCAGTTGGAGACTTACCAGGCGAGAGTAGTCTTGTTGGCTCCTTGGTGGCTGGCCCAGCCCTGGTTTCAGGCGCTTCTTGCTCGATGTCCAAACCCGAGGGTCTTCCACGGCTTCACCTCTTTCAGAAGATCGGTCTAATCCGGTACGTGGTTGGTTCGATCTTCTTCTCCACCCTTCGTTTCTGGTCTTTTTGAACGGGTGTATCACCACTTGTATGGTGATCAGGTGGCTTTGTTGATGGTGTCCCACCTGCAAGTTTCGTCTAGACAGCAGTATGAAATTTCCTGGCGGTCCTTTCGGCCTTTTTTATCTCTTCGTAGGTTGTCTTCGATTTCTGATTGGGTTGTTTTGTCCTTTCTCTCTTGGTTGTTTCAGGACCGTCATCTTATGCCAAATACTGTCGCCTTGTATCGTGTAGTACTGGCGGAGCCGCTGCAGGTTGCATTCGGGATGGATGTCACTTCTGCTCTGTTCTGCAAGCTTTCTCGGGCGTTGTTTCACCTCCAGCCTGCTCATGAGCCGCCTGAGCCATCCTGGTCGTTGGACCGGGTGCTCTCTTTTCTCTCTTCACCTTGGTTTGTGGTGGCCCTCTTGGCTCAGGACTGTTTTTTTAAGGCCCTTTTCTTGTTGGCATTGGCCTCTGGGGGTCGGGTCAGGGAGCTTCATGCTCTCCTCCGGCATAGGGGTTTTTGCTCTTTCAGTCCTGGTGGTCGTTTCGTTTGTTTGCAGCATTCTCCTTCTTTTCTGGCAAAGGATGAGTCTGCTGCTTTCCAAAGGGGTCCTTGGGTTGTTGATGCTTGGTTGGTTCGGCCAGGGGTTCATCATGTTTTATGTCCGGTTGCGACTCTTCACCGTTATCTGCGCGCCACAGCCTCCGTGGCAGGAGACGCACTTTGGGTGGACCCAGTTTCCCTTCTTTCCTGTTCCAGGGCGCAGTTCTCCCAGGTTGTCCGCAGGATTATTCGGTTCATCCAGCCTGCGGTCTATCCCCATGCCCATGACGTTCGCAAGTTCGCAGCTTTGGTTGCTGTTTTTGGGAATATGTCCTGGGCTGACATTCGGGCATGGAGCTTTTGGAGGTCAAACAGGGTCCTAGCCGCACGGTATCTTGTTAATGTTCCTGCCCTTCTCGGGCTTGTGTTGCCTTGGGTCACAGGTTGCAGCCAGTTGTCTCGACTTCGAGTTGAGAAGCGAGTAACGACCGCCTCCCGGGTAAGTCCCTCTTTTTCTTTATCTTTGGTTAGGTAGCACCGGGGAGCTGAAGGGGCTCTCCACAGAAAACCAGCGTTGAATGTAATGAAACGCCATTTTCTGGGTGAGACCCGGAGTCTCCCCAGCATCCCTCCCTGCCTCCCTCCCTCTGGTCGGCTTTTTTTTTTGCATTCTTGATATTCAGCCTCTGAACTGAGGAGAGTTGGCGGTGTGGAGGTCTGGGACGCCCCTCTGTCCCCCCCTCCCAGGGAGAGGGGGAATGCGCAGACGGATGCGCGACATTTTTGGTGACATCATATTTGTTTCCTTGGTTTTGATTGGAGAGTTCTGTTGCTACTTCAGCTTTCGGTTTGCAAATTATTTGATCAGCTGTAGTTTGTTTTGAAATTCCTACCTTTCTGGGTGCCTGACCTGGTAGATGGCAGACAAAAACTGCTTCCAATTACACGGGGGTGTCTTTAGGCCATTGCTCCTTATGCCTCTCTTGAGGGGGCCAGGTTCTGGCTCTGCCTAGAACTCCTTCGACTGACTGTTGCCACAGTCTAATATATACACATCAGCCCGATATAGCTCCAGGGAGCCTCTGGGCCTCACCCAAAAAATGGCATTTCATTACATTCAACACTGGGTTTTTTACTTATTACTATAGTTCTTCGGTAGTATTTTGTATTAATATAACTTTAGATCAATGCTCTATATTTTGGCTAAAATATCATTCTTTACATTAACAATTTTTACTGGCAAACCTTGCTGCACTTAATTGTCTTCCTTCTGGTTCAGCTGCCTGCTCTTTCTTGACAATTTTGCTTTGTTGGTAACGAGCCACCCTTACAGACGAGTGTGCCTCTTCTCCATGCTTCAATGGTGCCACATGTAACGATGGGATGGCATCTTTCTATTGTGACTGTGACCATGGATACAGTGGCGAAAAATGTGAAATTCCAGGTAAGATACCGAATTCATGGAATCATTCTTAGATCTCAATCTTGATTAAGTATATCTCAAGTACAGCATCCAGTTTTTACTGTTATAATCTTTGTGGATGTCATTTGTTAGCTATCCATGGACAGGATTTCCAATGATTTTGTCATGTATAATTTTTCATCTGTATTGTAGATGATTTGACTGCACACACACAGGTCTGAACTCTTTCCCAAGGTACTCTGATAGATGGACACTACACACACAATAATAGTCTACAGTATATATTTAGGATAGGTTTACAGTGCTGGTATAATCATGAGATGGAGTCAGGAAACTATAAGTCAGATGGTCAGGCTGAAGGCCAAGTTCATGGTTGTAGTTTTAGTGGCAACTGCACTGGGGTGTGTGTGAGAAGGGACTCCTTGTTGAGCTGTGCCTAGGCAGTTCACTGATCTGGCCTAGGCAGTTCACTGATCTGGCCTAGGCAGTTCACTGTCTTATATACCCGTTTGCCGCTGGTGTCTGGACCAGCACTGGAGTTTAATCCCAGCACTTCACTTTTGGTCTGGTTACCACCATGAGTTGACATGTTTATGGTAAAAAATATGTAATTTCTGAGCAAGACCTAACAGTAGCTTCCCTAAGCCTTAGCACTAGACCCTCCCAGGTCACTTCTATAATGACAGGCCTGGAGTAACTTGGAATCCCATGAAAATAATCTGCAATCACTGAGAAAAATCTCTCTCAATGATCACCAGAAATATTTCAAACTACAGTAGACATTCAGTAATCCACAGTCCAGTAACCCAGAAATCCATGTAATCTACAAGATTTCACTCTTGTTTTTACTCTTTTTAATCCTTTTAACCCGAATGGTACTTTGGGTTACTGAGATTTTTATCAGACAAGAAGTATTTGGCAACCAATGCTGATAACATAAATTACATTAAAACAAATCATTAATATAATAAAACAATGCATTAATAAAAATTAAAAATAAAAATAATATCAAACATTAGTTCAAAATAATACCCACCCACTCTCGACAGCCCAACACCCACCCATCGGCTCCTGCCTGCCTAGCACCCATCCACCAAATCCTTCCTGCACCACACCTACTCACCCACTCCTGCAGTGTGTCATTTAGCAGGGTTGAATAAGGGTTAATAATATATGTTATACTAGAATGAATAAAACAATGGTTAAAGCAAAAGATCGTCTTAACTCGTAATGAATGTGACAATTTGTATGATGAGTGGGGTACTGCAAGGTTCTATTTTGGGGGGCAACTCTTTTTGTCATATACATCAATGGCATAGCTGAGAATATTACAAACCTCATCATCAAATTTTCAGATGACACTAAGATTTATGTTAAAGTAGGAAGTGACAATGGTATGGAGGTCTTGCAAAGAGATTTACACAAACTTCACAAGTAGTCAGATGACTAGCAAATGCTTTATATATACAGGTATATAGAAAAATGCAAGACCATCACATGCTAAAGCATTCCACTTCACCTGATCTTTCAGGCATCCCTGTGTACAGGAATCGTAGCATATGTGTGGAAAAAGGCTAACATAGTTCCAATCTACAAAAGTGGCAGCAAGGAAGACCCCCTCAATTATAGACCTGTATCATTGACAAGTGTAATAGTGAAAGTATTGGAAAAACTAATAAAAACTAAATGGGTAGAACACCTGGAGAGAAATGATATAATATCAGACAGACAGTATGGTTTTCAATCTGGAAGATCCTGTGTATCGAATTTACTCAGTTTCTATGATCGAGCCACAGAGATATTACAGGAAAGAGATGGTTGGGTTGACTGCATCTATCTGTACCTAAAAAAGGCTTTCGACAGAGTTCCACATAAGAGGTTGTTCTGGAAACTGGAAAATATTGGAGGGGTGACAGATAAGCTTCTAACATGGATGAAAAATTTTCTGACTGATAGAAAAATGAGGGCAGTAATCAGAAGCAATGTATCGAACTGGAGAAATGTCACAAGTGGAGTACCACAGGGTTCAGTTCTTGCACCAGTGATGTTTATTGTCTACATAAATGATCTACCAGTTGGTATACAGAATTATATGAACTTGTTTGCTGATGATGCTAAGATAATAGGAAGGATAAGAAACTTAGATGATTGTCATGCCCTTCAAGATGACCTGGACAAAATAAGTATATGGAGCACCACTTGGCAAATGGAATTTAATGTTAATAAATGCCATGTTATGGAATGTGGAATAGAACATAGACCCCACACAACCTATATATTATGTGAGAAATCTTTAAAGAATTCTGATAAAGAAAGAGATCTAGGGGTGGTTCTAGATAGAAAACTATCACCTGAGGACCACATAAAGAATATTGCGTGAGGAGCCTATACCACACTTTCTAACTTCAGAATTGCTTTTAAATACATGGATGGCTATATACTAAAGAAATTGTTCACTACTTTTGTTAGGCCAAAGCTAGAATATGCAGCAGTTGTGTGGTGCCCATATCTTAAGAAGCACATCAACAAACTGGAAAAGGTGCAAAGACATGCTACTAAGTGGCTCCCAGAACTGAAGGGCAAGAGCTACGAGGAGAGGTTAGAGGCATTAAATATGTCAAAACTAGAAGACAGAAGAAAAAGAGGTGATATGATCACTACATACAAAATAGTAACAGGAATTGATAAAACCGATAGGGAAGATTTCCTGAGACCTGGAACTTTAAGAACAAGAGGTGATAGAGGTCACAATCGACTTGAGAATAGTCCAGGACGGACCAAAACGTCGTCGTCCCTTCAACTTCTAGTGTGTGGTCTGGTCAACAAGAGGTCATAGATTTAAACTAGCTAAACACAGATGCCGAAGAAATATAAGAAAATTCACTTTCGCAAACAGAGTGGTAGACGGTTGGAACAAGTTAGGGGAGAAGGTGGTGGAGGCCAAGACCGTCAGTAGTTTCAAAGCGTTATATGACAAAGAGTGCTGGGAAGACGGGACACCACGAGCGTAGCTCTCATCCTGTAACTACACTTAGGTAATTACTCAGTACTTTGGAAGCAAGTAATAATCAACGAAGTAGCCCATGGTACACAGCACGACTTCGCTCTCAGTGCACCAGGTACAGATCAATTTTTGCTTCCTGTTTCTTCATTCTGTGTGCTTGCAAATAATGCACTCACATACACCCTTGGCTTTAGTACTCATAAGTTGTAGGAAAAGATCAATTTGTAAGGTAGTCTTGAAAAGATCGCTTTGTATGGTCCCACACAGGAAGAGATTCAGCTTACCTCAAAGAGTGTCCATCAGTCAGGAAGAGATTCAGCTTACCTCAAGAGTGTCCGTCAGTCAGAAAGAGATTCAGGTATTCTTGAAAATATCTATGGAAAACACCACCATGGAAGCTGCTAACACTGTTCATCTATGCTATTTGTATCAGATGCATCATCACTAAATGCAGAAAACGAATCATCTATGTATCATCTAAATAAATTGTATGCATAGGATTGCAAGGGTGACGCTCAAAGCTACAACTGGATACGCTCGCTGTATCGTCCTCATAGGTGCTGTATCACTTGCATCCAACCTTTGTGTTAGGTCCTTATTGCGCCTCACTTCACCAATATTATGACCCTTATGTTCTTCAAACATTAAGGTTTGAATTTCACCGACAGAGCGCGTCGGACAGGTGTTTGGGAGCCAGAGGCGCGTGCGCCACCCATGGTTGCTCATTCAGTACTAACCCAGCCAGCAGCCCTAGGGCATTCTGGGAATTTTTTCCAAGATGGCTGCCTCTCACTGGAGGTCCTAAGAGTCCATTTCGTACACAACCAACCTCGTACACATTTAGAATTGGTACTAAAAAATCAAAACAGTCTCCGTGGTGTAGTGGTAAGACACTCACCTGGCGTTCCGCGAGCGCTATGTCATGGGTTTGTATCCTGGCCGGGGAGGATTTACTGGGCGCAATTCCTTAACTGTAGCCTCTGTTTAACGCAACAGTAAAATGTGTACTTGGATGAAAAAACGATTCTTCGCGGCAGGGGATCGTATTCCAGGGACCATAGGATTAAGGACTTGCCCGAAACGCTACGCGTACTAGTGGCTGTACAAGAATGTAACACCTCTTGTATATATCTCAAAAAAAAAAAAAAAAAAAAAAAAAAAAGTTTTCTCAACTGAGTTTTCTCAGTTGGCGCAGTTAAGTGGTTAAGAAGCATTTATTCATTATTTAAGTGAAAAATGCTCCTAGAAATGTTAAAAGGCTGTTAAATTTTCATCCGTCTGTCAGCCATTTACAATGAGTGAATAAAAAACAAAACCAGAGCGCTGTCATGGTGCGCCCTGGTGTCCTGATGCGGCAACACAAAACATCACATCTAGAAATACAAGTTTCACATCTTTTATAGCAATTCTCTTGCCCAAAATATAAACAACTACACAGCTGATCTTAGAGGAGGTAAGAGTTGGAGTAGAAAATCCACTTTAACATATCTTTCAATAAATATATGAGGAACCATACTAAAATAGTTTTTCCACTAAATATCCTTGTAAAATACAGGTGCATCCTATCCAAAGGTGTGTCTTTTACACTGGCAAATACAGTAATTTTCTCTGAATAATTTACTCATCTATTTTTTTAAGTAGGGCTTTTCTTTAATAATGCTGAATTTTCTTTCCTGGATGTTTTCCTGCATTAGGTTGTTGAGTTTGCTCCTCCCATTATTTGCGTCTTCCATTGTTTGCTTCTCCCATTATTTGCTTCTTCCACTGTTTGCTCCTCCCATTGTCACTGCATCTCTGACTATCATTGTTTACTCCTTCCACAACACAATGACCCAGAACATAACAATTTTCTCTGTCTGAGCTCTGTATGTCTATCTCTCTTCCTGACCAGAGTCCTGCCCTGCCCAGAACACCACCCACGAAACTGGAGAGTTTCAGTGGCCTGCAACTCGACATGGAGAATCAGTCACTGTAACCTGTCCCTTTGGAAATCGAACTTCTGCCAGTGAAAATATTAGCTCAAAGATCTCTTCACTTGTTGGGGCTTCAAGTACGTCTGCCATTACTGATGATTATTTAACTACAAGCATTAATATAAACAATAAGTCTCTTGAATATGAGAATGGATCAGTTGTACATTCTACCTCACTTCCCCCATCACCAGAATTTACAACTCGTGCTGCATGGGATGACAGGAATTTTCATATTAACAGACAAATTCGCAATTTAGAATTTAATGAAAGTTCCCAAACGTTCAATCCTATCACGGTCTTGTCACAGGTAAGTGTATTTTACCATTTATGAAAAATGCTAAAATATCATGTTACACTTAGTACAAATACTGCTGTTTATATTCATTGAACTAGAAAAATTCGCATTGTTATGGAATATTGCAGATTAACCAATAAACTCTCTTTCAAAAAAGGTTAATAACGAATCGGCACGCAGACGTGCAGTAGCAGCAAACCTACGTGGATCACATCCAAAACAGCTGAGAAGATTGCAACCAAGAGGAGATTCTGAGAGAGCTGACCAAACTAAAAGAGTCACAGAACGACAGGCTGAAGGAGAGCAGGAGCCCCAGTCAAATGTTCAAGATGGATCAGAAAGAAGACAAATACAATACAGAGGATCTGGTATAAGAAGACTCAGAGTTCCAAAGCAAACAAGCATTGAAGAACTACCATTGGAACAACAAACACAAATTGGAGATGAAAATGTGAATGGGAGCAATAACCAGGAGCCCGAGACCACAACTCCATCCTCAGTGAGGCAGTGCCATCTATTAGGAGCAGTTCGTTCATGTGTGCTGCTGCCCAATGGCACAGCAGTCTGGAGTGAACCGGATATTTGCATGTGTCGAGGAAGGGCAATGCAGGAAGCCGAAGATGCTGCTAAAAATGTATCAATCCTCACTGCCTCTCCTGCATCAGTTAATTCTAAGATGTTCACCGATGCTGCTAATCAGCTGGCAATACTTGTGAAACATGCACTTCAAGATCCTGAAGTAAGTTATTCTGTGCATACAATATTTTATAATAATCAGGGGCCAGATTCACGAAGCAGTTACGTATGCACTTACGAACCTGAACATCTTTTCTCAATCTTTGGTGACTTTGTTTACAATTATTAAACAGTTAATGAGCTCTGAAGCACCAGTAGACTGTTTATAACAATAACAACAATTGACTGGGAAGTTTTCATGCTTGTAAACTCTTTATTAAAAATAACCAAAGGCATCAAAGATTGAGGAAACATGTACACGTTCGTAAGTACTTGTGTAACTGCTTCATGAATCTGGCCCCTGGCCTATCAATGGTGAGCATCAATTCCAGGAGTTAAGTCAACCCAGCCTTCAGCTTTCCCCTCAGATAGATAATTACTTTTGCTATAACCTTTACATGTTTTTTAAGCAGGTAAATTGAACTAAAATTTGGGAAGTGTTGTAAAATACATATCAGTGTAACTAATGTTTATAAATAATCTTGGGTGAGTTTTCCAGACCCTTCAAATGGTAAACAATGTGTGAGCCTGTGCCAAAAGATATTTGTTAGGCGTGATTGTTTATTAATAAGAAATTGTAGATTTCTTGTTTCTGATTATAATAGTAAAATATTTCAAAAGGTATAATTTTGCCCATTGATTTTTGCATTTTCATGGTCTCTAAGATGCCTCCACACTGTTTCCTCAACTAGGTAATTACCATACTTGATTCGATAAAATATGTTGAATAAGTCTTAAGGTGCAGTTATTGTCATATATCCGAGTTTACTTGAGAGAGACTAACTCTAGTGGCCTCAACAAAGACAGGAAGCCGGTGATTGGTGAAGGTCCCTCCACTTGCCTTGATGTACTTTTCCAGCTGCACTATAAAACCCAACACAGTTTTGGCATTAACCCCTAAGCTGCTCTGGGCTATTTGGCTTTCAACACCCACAGGCACAAAAAAAAAAATTATTTCGTCTGATAAAAGTGTTCATTTGTGTTCCCTGATCACGGGAAAAAATAATAAAAAAAAAATCGTAAGTGGCATTTTGGCCGCAATAGGGCGGGGAAGTCTGGCAAAAAACCAGCGTTGAATGTAATGAAACTCGATTTTCTGGGTGAGCCCCTACGGCTCCCTGGAGCTTATCGGGCTAATGTATGTTATATTAGACTGGGACATTAGCTATGGAGTTCAGACCTACCAGGGACCATGAGCCAGAACCTGGCCCCTTCAGAGAGGTTGCAAGGAGCAATGGCCCTGGAAAACTCGCCTGTGGTTGGAGGTTTTCCTTATCTGCCATCGACCGGGGTGAGGCACCCAGAAAGGTAGGCATAACAAAACAAACCCCACATGGTAAGAAACTAACAACAAACACCGAACAGAGAGGTAGAATTCCCTACAATCCTAAGCAAACAAGTAAACGTAACACACCACTGTCGTGCCGCTCGTCCACGCAGCCCTCCCCTCCCCAAGAGGGGGAGGGTGGGGGGCGGACCTCGCCACGCCGGCTGCAAAGCACTCCAGTTCAGTAGCTAAGCTTCAACAAACACGAAAAAAATGCCGACCGGTGGGAGGGAGGGTTGCCAGTGGAGCCTCCGGGGCTCACCCTGAAAATGGCATTTCATTACATTCAACGCTGGTTTTCTGAGGGGAGCCCCTACAGCTCCCTGAAGCTTCATACCCAAAGAGAAGGAAAAGAAAGGGCTGACCTGGGTGATGGCCGCCACAAACTCTGCAATGCGAAGTCGAGACAACAGGCTGCAACCTGTAACCTAAAGCAACACAAGAACGCCCAGGAGCAGACATGCTCACAAAACAACGAGCGGCCAGGAACCCATATGACCTCCAAATCCCTGCGCCTGAAATGAGCCCAAGACATGTTACCAAATACGGCAGCGAAAGCTGCAAACATCCGAATGGCACAATGCCAGGTTGGCGGCCCCTAGTAATTAAGAAAGTCACACCTCTAGAGTGTTAATGAGCACCAAGTGACCAAGGTCAGGTCGTGTGAAGTTGACCTAGTTTCTGCTAAGCTCATAATTGTAGCCAGGTATCTTGGGGGGGGGGGTTTCCATCAAACAAGCCACCAGTTTAAGGTGTGGCTTGGTAGAGTGCCTGGGGCTATCTACTTGTGGGTGGAGTCAGCTAGTTGGTCCTCAATATATACCCAGGGTACTGTACACTCAAGAGGAGGAGACAGGAGAACAGCCAGCAGAGCAGAACAGAGGACAGCATAGCCAGGGAAGCTGTCAGCCGGACAGGGTGGGACAGTCTCTGTCAACTACAGAACCCCCCCCCCCCTGTCTATCCAGCTATAGGCAGACACTTGGTGAGTTGAACATGAAAGAGAGGTTTCAAGGAGCAATGGCCCTGGAAAACTGCCTTGTGGTTGGGGGTTTTCCTTATCTGCCATCGACCGGGGTTAGGCACCCAGAAAGGTAGGCATAACAAAAACACCACATGGTAAGAAACTAAAACAAAAAAATGAACAGATAGGTAGAAACTCCCTACAATCCCAAGGAAACAAGCAAACATCACACTTTACTGCCACGCCGCTCATCCGCGCAGCCCTCCCTGCCTCGAGAGGGGAAGGGGGGGCCCCAGACCTCACCGCGCCAGCTGCCTAGCACCAGTTCATAAGCTAATGTCAACCGGGACAGACGCTTCTCTGGCCTCACTTTCCTAGGCAGTGTTTGCTTTCGTAGCATTCACTGCCGTGTGTTGTGTTGTGCGGTGACCAGGTGTTCCTCATCAGTACCGGGGCTGCATGCGCTTAGGGGCTTCCTTCCCTAAGCGCCCTGTGAGTACTGCCCCTGTGTGACAGGGTTATCTTTCCTGGGGCGTTTAGGAACCATTCCTATAGAGGTTCTTGCTGCTCAGCATTTGCCTCACCCTTGGGGCTAGCTGGGGCTTGGGGCCCTTGTTTGACCTTGGGTAGGGACTGATATTGTGCTGGGTAGGGCGTCAAGGTGTTGCGCAGCCTGCCACCTACGTGGTGACCAGTTCCTGTTGCCTCTGGGGCGGTGTACTTTTGCGGGGTTTTTCTTTTGTTTTTCTTTTACTTTGCCTAGTGTGGCTATAGTTCCACTGGTAGTGTTTGGTGGTCCTCTGTTAGGCCCCCGTGTTTGTACATGTCGCAGGGGTTTTCAGTGTTGCATCCCCCCCTTGTTAGCTTGGGTGTTTAACCCTTGTGTTGTTAAGGGTTATTTGGCCATTGTCAACCAGAGGCGCATAACAAAAATAAAAAACTTTTTTCTTCTAAACCTGTTATTTGTGTTCCCTGATCACGGAAAAAATAATAAAAATATCGTTAGTGGCATATTTTCCCTGCTATAGGACGGGGAAGTCTGGTAAAAAAACAGGCGCTGACTCAGCGTGCATCCGAGGCGGTTTGCTCAGCTCCAGCTGTCAGGCAGGAGTGGCCACAAAGAGATAATTAACTAATTATTTCAATGTCTCTGATTGATTTTTCTTCATTTTTTTGCTGTAATATTATTCAATAGTGTGTAGTGTGATATATTTATATCATAAAATGTGTGAATCATCGCTGTACTCAAAATTATGGTGTGCATATTGTAACGTTTCTATTGTTAGGTAAAGTATGGTGACAAATAAACAGACACTAAGATACTATATATATATATTTGGTCGAATATACAGAAGTACACAGGTGATACTTTGGTGTGAGTTGAGCGCACTGAGCGTCGGTACAGTATCTCGCAAGTGTCTGCTCTAGACCACACTTGAAAGTAGACTAGTTAAGGTTTGCTATTCTGCTGCTTATATGCTCGGGCAACACCTCACCGTGTTGCCCGGGCAATGCCTCACCTCATTCATCTCCAAAGGTTGACAGGAATATTAACAATGCATTTGGACCGAGTATGTTATTGGGATAATCTACTCGCTACAGAACTCCCCCTCCCAGGGGATGAAAGGAAAAATACTTGATCAAGGAACTTAGCTGGTCGGTGAATTGTACGCCCTGCTCGCGTTACATAACCATCAAAGTTAACTTCCTCCTCTTCGCTGATGTCATCTAACTGGGGTCGTAGGGTGGGAGGTCACACAGGATTGTCCGTCGTCGTAGGATCAGGTTGTGGTGCGGCTGGTAACTGGGGTTGTAGGGTGGGAAGTCGTACAGGATCGTCCGTTGTCGTAGGTGGTGGTGCTGCTGGTAACTGTGGTCGAAAAGTGAACTGCGTAGTCGGCGGATGTGTCTCTGGATTTAGCAGTCGCAGACGTTGAGACGAAGCCTGGAGCAGAGCAGAGAACTGAGTGAGGCTGGAGTCATGGAGCTCTATGTGGGAGAGCGTGGCGGCTCGATTGAGAATTGTGAGTGTCTGAACTCGGGGAGCGAGAGCGTGGCAGCTCGATGCGGTCGTAGTCTGCTGTCTGCTCTGTGTCGAAGCTGTAGCGTCTTGGGTTGATTAGGACTACACGCCGAGTACTACATTGTTGACTGTGGAAATTGTAGTCTGGTACCAAAAGATGTAGGCAGTGTGTGGACAAGCTCGGTGTAGCAGGAGAGAAGAATGTGCATAATTGTTGCGTCCTTGGGTCGCTGGTGGAGCATTTAGATCCGGGGCGGATGGGCTCGGGCACCAGGACATTAGGAGGTAATGTAGGCACGTAGTTAGGACAACGAGGTAATCACATCTAGAGCTGAATTGTCCTGAAGGCGACGAAGTGTCGGAAACGCAAGCTGTAAGTCCTGTACTGCACAAAGGGCTTGAGTCGGCCGAGTATCAAAATGCAGTGAACGTGTAGATGAATCTGATGACAGAGCAGCTGTCGTGGGCGTAGGACAAGCAGTGCCCTGGCAGCGACGGAGAGTCGGCAGGACAAGCTGTAGATTCAACGTGATGTAATCATTGATGAGGCTGTCAGATGAGTGAGTAACTATCGTGGAGCAGCAAGCCGTAGTAGATGAAAATGCAGAGATGGACGCGATGAAAATCATAGCTGTGGTGAGGGTGTTGGCAGTGTTCCATCACAGCAAACAGTAGCAGTAGAGGTCCAGT